AGGGGCGCATACTTTTTTAAATTATAGGCCTACAGTAAAAATCTTCTCTAAAGGGCTCCTGTATAAGACAATCACCTTTACAAACGGCCACTTTCCACCTCCTCGCTTGCGTATTTTTTCCATTGTAACGGCACTGCGTAATTAGACAGTCGCCTGTCTTAGACGGCCATTTTTCTTCTCGACAATATGTGGTCGTCTAAGTCAATTTGGACAGCAGATCTAACTTCTCCGCCTAGTCTCCCCATGAATACTACGGGGTGCCCACTATGGCTGGGATCGGCCGATCGGGCCGATCGCTGCCCACTACGCTGGATCGGGCCGATCGCCCAATCCCAGCCGTAGTGAGCACACAAAAGTGTTTGTTTTCAGTTTTAGGCGATCGAGTCGGGCGATCGGCCCGATCCAGCCGTAGTAGGCACCCCGTGGAGACAAAACCACAGTGTATGTATTGTGATCAGGGGAAACAACTACATTTTTACTCTTTTGGGGTTTTATAAAAGCACAGTTGCTTCCCTTGCCGAGTGTTTCTATAACCTGCGATCGACAAGATTCCAAATTCCAAGAATTCTGAAACCGTTACGTAAGACTAATTTTTATATTTCGTCTACGTAGGCCAACAATGTCTTATGTTGAAATACAAATTTTTTCTGGAGAGGCAAAAAAACAAAACAAAAATCAACAACGACAAAAAAAGTCCTTTATTATATAATAATATATATATATATATATATATATTTTATGCAGAACCTCGGTCTTAATATTTAATTCATCTTTTCATCTTTATATTTGTCACCTCTATTTTAAGAAGCTGGGACTGAATAATGTGCCTTATCAAACTCTACAACAAACTTGACTTTTTTTTCCTATATATTGACAAACTGCAATGTTGAAAGACAGTGACGACGATTTATTCCTGAATAGAGCGGACAGGATGCAAACATAATATCAGTAATACAATCCTTTCCAACTTTCGAATGAGATTTGTAATTCAGCCTCCCGAGTCTAGTTTTAGTAAAAGGTTTACGGCACTTGCAACACAATTAGGTCATAAAAGTGTCGAAGATTAGAGGTGTTACAAGGGAGAAACAAACACAAAAAAGAAGGAGGGGAGATAAAGATGACAGATGTTTGATGGGAAAGGTGGAGCAAACCACACCAGAGCACCCACCAACCACCCAGTATTCAGCCTCCTACTCTTCACAACTTTTGTTCATGTTCAATAAGTTTAAAGCCAACCC